TTGCATGCATCACATTGGCTGGTCAATGTACCATGCCCATGTTGCATGCATCACATTGGCTGGTCAATGTACCATGCCCATGTTGCATGCCTCACATTGGCTGGTCAATGTACCATGCCCATGTTGCATGCCTTACATCGGCTGGTCAATGTACCATGCCCATGTTGCATGCCTCATTGGCTGGTCAGTTTACCATTCCCATGTTGCATGCCTCACATTGGCTGCTCAATGTACCATGCCCATGTCGCATGCTTCACATTGGCTGGTCAATGTACCATGCCCATGTTGCATGCCTCACATTGGTTGCTCAATGTACCATGCCCATGTTGCATGCCTCACATTGGCTGCTCAGTGTACCATGCCCATGTTGCATGCCTCACATTGGCTGCTCAATGTACCATACCCATGTTGCATGCCTCACATTGGCTGCTCCATGTACCATGCTCATGTTGCATGCCTCACACTGGCTGCTCAATGTACCATGCCCATGTTGCATGCCTCACATTGGCTGCTCAATGTACCATGCCCATGTTGCATGCCTCACATTGGTTGCTCAATGTACCATGCCCATATGCATGCCTCACATTGGCTGCTCAATGTACCATACCCATGTTGCATGCCTCACATTGGCTGCTCAATGTACCATGCCCAAGTTGCATGCCTCACATTCGCTGCTCAATGTACCATGCCCATGTTGCATGCCTCACATTGGCTGCTCAATGTACCATGCCCATGTTGCATGCCTCACATTGGCTGGCCAATGTACCATGCCCATGTTGCATGCCTCACATTGGCTGCTCAATGTACCATGCCCATGTTGCATGCCTCACATTGGCTGCGCAATGTACCATGCCCATGTTGCATGCCTCACATTGGCTACTCAATGTACCATGCCCATGTTGCATGCCTCACATTGGCTGCTCAATGTACCATGCCCATGTTGCATGCCTCACATTGGCTGCTCAATGTACCATGCCCATGTTGCATGCCTCACATTGGCTGCTCAATGTACCATGCCCATGTTGCGTGCCTCACATTGGCTGCTCAATGTACCATGCCCATGTTGCATGCCTCACATTGGCTGCTCAATGTACCATGCCCATGTTGCATGCCTCACATTGGCTGCTCAATGTACCATGCCCATGTTGCATGCCTCACATTGGCTGCTCAATGTACCATGCCCATGTTGCGTGCCTCACATTGGCTGCTCAATGTACCATGCCCATGTTGCATGCCTCACATTGGCTGCTCAATGTACCATGCCCATGTTGCCCATCTCGCATAGGCTGGTTACCATGCCCATGTTGCACATCTCGCATAGGCTGGTTATATACCATCCATGCTTCATACGGGTTGGTGCAAGATCCATTCTCCTGAGAAGCACCATGCAGCATATTGCATAATGCAAGCATTGGTGTGCCCCACACGGGCTGTTGCAAGCAACATCCATGGCCCCAATGTTGTTGTTGTTTTCTCTCTCTCTCTCTCTCTCTCTCTCTCTCTCTCTCTCTCTCTCTCTCTCTCTCTCTCTCTCTCTCTCTCTCTCTCTCTCTCTCTCTTTGTCTCTCTCTGTCTCTATCTGTCTGTCTTTCCCCCCCCCCCCCCCCTCTCTCTCTCTCTCTCTCTCTCTCTCTCTCTCTCTCTCTCTCTCTCTCTCTCTCTCTCTCTCTCTCTCTCTCTCAAGCAGTCATGTATTGATATGGGTCACAAGGTACAGGCATGGCAAGTGGTGGTGACTAGCTTGTCTAAAACATGGAAGCAACCAGGAAGCTAGAAAAAACAAGCAAACTGAGCAAGCCCATCCAGCCAAAGCACAAAGGTCATCTAGCTCTCAGAGCAGCCCGGTCCACAGCAGCAGAAGTCCCCGAGAACTCCATATTCCACCTATCCCTTGTTCCTCCCCTATCATAAGACCTCCCCTTATCCTTCCTCACCCCGCAGCTTCCTCGCACCTTCCCTGAGACACCCACCAATTCCATGTCCCCCCTGAAGCCTCCCAAACTTTGTATTCCTTTCCTCACTCTCACCACGCCCCTGTATTCCTCCCCTGCTGCCACCCAACCCCCCCGTGTCACCGAGTTTCCTTCTCCCCAGCCCCTCAAGCCGCTCTAGCTGGAGCCTGGCGCTCCTCATACTCATCCACCTGCACCTGCCAAAGGTCTCCCAGTCGGAGCGCCCAAGGGTCCGCTGCAGCCTGAGGGAATGCCGCTTCCGCTGCCCGGTTTGACTTGGAGAGGAGGGACGTCGCCTGGCTGCGTTGGAGCATCACCGACCACCGCTGCCTGTAGTGTGCATTGAGGCGGGCAGCTGTGGTGGTGAGGTGCCCCTGGCGGTACTTCTTCTTCGCCGCATAAGTAGCCAACATTCCTGGTGGTGAGGAACTGTTGAGTGTCAGCTGCCAACGCCCCGTAGGTCTCAACCGCTAGGCCGAAGAAACCCACATAGCCAGGCCGCCCCTCGTAGAGCCTGTGCTTGGCCTGCGATGCTTCCTCAGCTGCCCATCCCGGCGGCTTCCGTGCTCTCACATCCCTCCTCTGTAGGACCGGGTCAGTCACAATCACGTCCGTCGCCCAAGTCTCTCCCGACTCTTGGTCCCTGACGGCCAGGTCAGCACGCTTGTTCTGGACAGGGGGAGAGAATGCGGTGGTCTCATGAAAGGTTTTGTACCCGGCTTCCTGCGCCATGCGAAGAGCAGCAAAGGCCAGCGCATTGTGGGTGCGCACAGCATCCCCACCATCGGCACTTCGTAGCAGGTGGTTCGGCAGACTCTTGTCGGCTATCTTGGAGTTGGATCTCTTGCAGGGGCAGACCTCCGCTACCGGTAGTTCCATGCCAAGGCGCAAGCCTAGTGCCAAGGAGAATTGACCAGGGGATATTGAGAGGTCAGCCCTCATGGGCACTGCATGGAGCCAGTCGCCTGCTCCCACTCCTTTCAGGCTGATGAGCCGAATGGCAAGGCCCCGGTCCACCCCCGGCCTATCGGTTACTGTATCTGCCAGCAGCTCCTCCGCCCGCGTGTGCTTTATGGCCTTGGAGAGCCCCAGCTGCAGGTTGCCCATAACCCTGGGGTTCTCTCTGTAGCTGTGTAGAACCGATGCTGCCTGTGCTGGGAGCCTCGCCTCGAGCGGGGACAGCGGGTTCACCCGGGGGGGAGGTGGGGTCCAAGTCGGGGAAAGTATTTCCCCGGCCCTGCGAAGTAGGTAGTCCGCCGGCAGGTTCAGCTGCTGCAGTAGAATGTGCGCTGCTGCAGTCGAGGCCAGGTACGCGGCTGGGGCTTCGGAAATGGGATCAATGATTCCCAGGCCTCCCAGCCGGACCGGGAGCGTTGCCTGGCGCCACAGCAGGCTTTGCTCTAGCTCGCTCGGCGGGATCTGTAGCTTCGATGCCGTGAGCCCTGCTCCCACCAATGCCTCGCTCCACTCCCTCCATTCCGTACGCGCCAGTGCCTCTGCTGGTGTTGTGCAAAGTAGGTACGAAATGCGGCGGGAGATGCTCAGAGATAGCATGAGTAGGCCGTGCTGCGGGTTGAGTTGGGAGACGTGGGGTAGCGGCGCAGCCGCCTCCGCAAGCACCGCCCGGACCTGGTCGGTGCAGAAAGCATCGCTGCCAACCGGGCTGCCCAACACCTTTAGACCACCTGGGTGGATGGGAAGGCCGTGTGGCAGGCCGTCTCCCCCTTCCTCCCGCCCTGCGCACCATGCCGCCGACTTGGCAAGGTTGCACCGTAGCCCGCATGAAGCCAGCTCCGCAACGACCATGTTGAAAGCAACGCACGCTGCTTCGCGAGGCCCCACGATGGTGATATCGTCAGCATAAGCCACTATTGCCACCTCTGAGACACTTGTAGCCACGCCGAGCAGAATAGGCTGGATCGCCGCTGCGAAAAGAAGAGGTCCCAGCGGGTCCCCTTGGCGAACACCCCTGGAGCTATGGATGTGTTCCACCTCCAGATGGGGGTCCACTAAAAGCCGAGAGGGGCCATCATAGAGGTTCCTGACGAGCGGGAGCAGCGGGTTGAGAGTAGACCACTAGAGGGCGGAAAGAAAAGACGCTCGTTCGACGCTGTTGAAAGCGTTCTCCACATCCAGCTGTAGAGCAATGCGGGTCTCGTCATCTCTGAGGAGGGAGCGAACCGTGTGGATAATACACTCCGCGCCTCCAGGGACCGCTACGCCGAACTGAACAGGGAGGAAGAACTCTCGGATCTTCGGGCCTAAGCTGTGTAGCGCCAATTTTGCTACCACACGTAGTAATGCCTCGCCTATCGCGATCGGTCTAACTCCTCCCCCAGGCTTCTCTAATGCTATGAGCCGGGAAGGGAGTAGAAGATCGCGGACTGTTTGGCTCTGGAAGGAATTGGCGAGGCAATTCACCACGTTTGCCAGGAGCAGAATGATCTTCTCATTCACTAGGGCCGGGTCTCTCAAGTGTTTGAAACAGCAGCTTGAGGGCCCCGCTCCTACCCCATTCGGGCACTTCGCGAGAATTTCGCGAAGAGCTTCCAGTGGGATACTGAGCTCAGAGTCGGTTATCCCAGTAACCCAGGCTGGCATTGGAGTGCTAGCAGACGGGTGTTTTTCTCGCAGGGCAGTCAGCGTCGCCAAATTCGGTTCAGCGAGGGGGCTCGTGCGTAACGCTGCAACTGCTTTCGAAATGTTACCTTTTTTAACCAAACCCTCTGCCCTCGCGCAAACCCCCTCGTCATCGTTTTGGTGTCTAAGCGAAGCACCTCTGTCGGGGATGGTGCAAGCAGCTTCGTACAACCCATCCCAGTCTCCCAGCTGGAATTGATGCAGCCGAGCCTCAATTGATGCCCATCGGCTGCCAGTGACTGGCTCGGTTGGCGGACGTAGCGTCAGCCTCGGGAGGTATAGCAGGATCGCCCATGCACCTGGGCATTCTAGGTTTGTTGACAGCCGTAGGAGTGGTGCGAGGAGGCATAGGCAATACTTGTCTAACACCTGGGGTGGTAGGCGTCTGACTAGGAACGGTTGGTCCATTCATTGGAGAAGGTCCAAGGTCCACGTGCCTGCCATCTGCCAGATGGCATCATCCTCTACCAGGGCGGCTGGCGATTTCACCTCGTTGGCGACTGCTGCGGCTGGAACCGTGGCTCCCACAGTGTGGGATGTTTCTCCTTCCACCCCCTCCCCTGTGCCTCCCGCTTGATTCCGCCTTCCCCCCACTTCCTCCTTGTTTTCTAGCGACACCTCTTCCGACTCTGGGCCTGGTTCTTCTCCACACATAAATTCTGGATCCCCGTTCTCCTCAGCAGAGCCGACTTCATCCCTATTGGCTGCAGCCCTTGAAACTTATGGACGGTCGTGACGTTCCCGCCATGGGCCCGTTCGGGCTTGGATCTCAACTCCCCCCAGACGAGTGACACCCCCGCGCCCTCCCCCTCGCCTTCCGCGGCCCATACCACGCAGACCCCGGCCCGCCACTGGCGCCGATCGAGCTGTGGTCTCCAGTCCCGCTCTCCCCGCCGGCATCCACGGCGTACGGCCTCCCCTTGGAGGACCCCACGTGACAGTGCCCAGCCGAGCCGAGCGACGAGTGGCAACGCCTTCCGTGGCTGGGGCAACAGGACTTGGCGGTAAGTGAACGCCTGTTCCATCGTCCTGGTTTGAGGCCGGCTGATCTGCTTCGTGGGTTGCTGTTGTCTCATTTGCCACCTCATTGAGTCCGGGACCTCCCCTTGCCTCTTGCGTTTGCGCAGATGACGACCGATGGCTCGCTCTGATGGCGGTTGCCCTTGCAGAAGCCAGCCTAGGAGGGGTCCCGGGGGGCCAGGTCCCAGCCCTGCTCCGGGCCGTCTCGGCGCTGGCTGGGCACGCAACTTCTTCTTCGACTTTGCCTGTGCCGCGCCGGAAGAATCGCCGTTCGCGCGTCCTGGAAACTCATCCTCCACATGGCCGTGCTCCTGCCTGTTTGCGGCCACGGCAGCAACAGGCGTTTCGGCGCTCGCTGCGGCAATCATCACGTCTTCCGCCGTCGGGGCTCCGCCCTGCTTCCCAGTGGCAGCAGACACCGCCGCCGCCAGCACAGCCGCCGTCACAGGTGCCGGCGACGCTGACAACGCCGCCTCCGCGGTCTGCTCCTGATCCGCGCCCGGACTTGGCTCCTCAGCCTCCGACTGCGCAACCCGTGGGGCGGCAGAGGGTGAAGTTGAGCCGCCGCCAAAGGCAGCGGTAGAACCGCCAGCAGGCACCGGGTCCGCCACCGTCTCCACTGCAGACGCAGCAGCCGCAAATACCTCAGGCACCGTTGCAGCCGCCGTCCTGGGCACCACAGCGGCCACCCGCACAGTCCCCGCTACGCTGTTTTCCCCTGCCCTTCCAGCCGCAGCCGCCTCGTCCCCCAATGCCCCAATTTCCACGGTCACCTCTCCTGCACGCCCCAAGCCCGCCTCCTCCCCCTGCCTTGGTTCCTGGCGAGCCCCCAACTCGCGTCGAGTAGCGCGTGATGCACGTTGGGACGTGCATGACACTCCTGTCGTACGTGCTCGACCAGCTGCACGTAACGCTGGTTCAGCAGGAGGTGCAGATCGAGGCGATGCAGCCGGCGGAGCAGTCAGCGGCGGTGGCGGTGGTGGAGGAGCTGCAGCATTACCTCCCCCTGATTGGCTATGTGCCAGGCTCCCCTGGGGCTGCCCTCGGGCCCGGCCCTGGGGCTTTGGCGCGGCTTGCTCATTCTGCCCGGGACGACACGCTCGACCTTGTAGCAGCAGCCGCGTCCGTCCTGCGCTGGCTGGACGGGAGGCTGTGTTGGATCCTCGTTGAGTAGCGGTAGCCTTCCCCTTGCCAGCCCCCTTAGTGGCAGGTCTGGGTTTGGGCTTCCCCATGGCGGTGTTCTCACGCCCTGGGGTGTTGTTGTAGCTGCTGTTGTGTTATGCCTGCATATTGTACTGCCCCATGTTGAGTTGCCAAGAGCTTTCTCCCTTGTCACACCTCACGCGCGGCCGCCTTCGGCGGCCGGCGCGAGCCGCCGGTTTTTGGGGAGGAAAATGAATCCACCAGTGAAGAATAAGCTCAAAGGACCCCTCACTAGGTGCTTTATACTAGGGAAACGGCCCTGGAAACGTCTAAGGACTAGGGACTAGGCTGGAGAGGGAGAAAACGGCTAAGGACTAACCCCAAACCATCTCTCTCAAGCGGTCCTTCATTGATACTGTTTATAGGGTACAAGCATGGCACGGGCTGCTTCTAACAGGTATGCTGGACTAGGCATGCAAGCAAAGAAGTCCGCAAGGAAGCAAAGCATACACCAGAAGAGAGGCACACCGACGTATCAGGAAGTGATGCAACCCGACCCTAGAGAAGCAAACCAAATCACCCGAGGCCGCTCTCTCAGGCTGCTCTACTGCCCCTCACTTACCAGAGTCTAAACGCCACCGAGGTCGTCCTCAAGCACCTGGTAGAGATCCCCCAAGCTTGGTTCCCAGGGATCAACCAGTGCTTGGGGGTATGCCGCCTCCGCGGCCATGTTTGATTTGTTTAGGAACGAAATGGCCTGTGAGCGCTGTAGCATGACCGACCACCTCTGCCTAAAGTGTGCGGTAAGGCGGCTGGCTGTTGTAGTAAGGGGCCCCTGGCGGAATCTCTTCTTAGCTGCAGCAACCGCCAGCAGTCGGAGAAATTGCACAGTATCAGTCGCTAGCGCGCTATAGGTCTCCACCGCCAAGCCGAAGAATCCCACATAGTCTGACCGCCCCTCGTACAGGCGGTGCTTCTTCTCAGAAGCTTCCCTGGCTGCCCATCCTGGCGGCTTCCTCACCCTGGGATCCCGTTTCTGAAGTACAGGGTCGGTAAGTCTCTACTGCTAGTTTGTGGAAGCCCACCCACGCGTTAAGCCGCGCGTACTTCTCGTCTTTCCTCGCTGCTGCCGCTCTAGCCGCCCAACCTGGAGCACGGTTGCAATTCTCGTCTGGTAAGAGATGGGGTCAGTCACGGTTACGTCACACATCCATACTTCTCTGGTCAGGGGATGACGGATAGTGACATCCGCCTTGAGGTTTTAAATTAGAGAATAGACGTAGGTCTCCTTGTGAACCGTGAAGCCTGCTTCCGCCCCTATCCTTGCTATTTCATCCCGAAGGGCATGGTGTGTGGCGGTCCTCCAGTTCCCTTTTTGCAGCGCATTAGATGGTTGGGGAGGCGGTCATCGGGGAATGTGGTGCTGTATCGGCAGTCACAACGCCTTGGGCCTAGGCGGAAGGCAGCTGCGGTTGAGAGCTGAGGGGCCCATCCTGAGTGCTGAGATGAGGGGAATCGCTAGCAGCCAATCCCCCGCTTCCGGGCCCAACACTGACTGCATCTGCTGGGCATGACTAGAGAGGGGGTTGGGGCGCATCCGCCATGGTTCATTTAGCACTCTGATGAAGCGGCGGGTATGGACCGCCAGGGCTAGGGACTGCTGTAGCTTCAGGCCTTTGGGGTCTACCTTCCCCACTTAGAGGGCCTCCAGAGCCTCTGGGGGGAGGGCTGCCTCGGCACGTGCGATTCGTGCAGGCAGGGCAGCCGCGGAGTCTGGTATGGGATCCATAAGGGGGAGGAGGGCAGCTACTGTAGGGTGCAGGGCATCAGAGAGCGAGTGCAAGAGGTGGGAGGCGCTGATCAGTGATGCGAGGTAAGCATAACTTCCGTCAACAGCAGGGTCGGTGATGCCCAAACCTCCCAGAGTCACAGGTAGCGCAGCTTGCCACTGTATCCGCCTCCTCTCTGCGTCGCTCCTCGGTGTTACTATGTGTGCAGCATCCAAAAAGGTGTTGAGCAGCCATTCCCCCCATACCGACCACTCCGCTTCAGGCAATACCTCTAGCGGGGTTGTTCTTGCTAGGAACGAGGCGCGGCGGCTGACGCAGCGGGTGAGGAGGAGGAGGCTGATCTGGGGGTCTTTTTGCGCTAGGAGGGGAAGTGGTTCAGCTGCCGCCGCGACTCTCCCTAACCGCGCTGGCGCAGCCCTGGGTCATGCCGATGGGGCTGCCGAGAATCTTCAGCCCTTCTCCCGAGATGGTGATGCCTGACGGTACGGAGGTGGGGTCAATCATTGAGGCAGACCAGGCCGCGCACTTGGCCGGGTTGTGTACTAGGCCAAGGGTGGCGAGCGTGGACGTGAGGTGGTCAATAGCTGCGGTGCAGGCCGTGGCTTTGCCGAGCAAGGTGATGTCATCGGCGTAGGCGAGCAGGACCACCTGTGGGTGTACCACGAGGCACGGGTGGATTCTCGCCGCAATGAGGAGGGGGCCAAGCAAGTCCCCTTGGCAGACTCCTCTGGCGCTCTGCAGGGGGGCCGACCCAAAGTCGTGATTGAGGAAGAGTGAGGAGGGGGGCCCATAGGAGAGGCGGACAAGTGGGATGAGGCTCCCTGGTGCTTCGTTCCTCAGCCTTTCGAACACCGCCCTCATCTCGACTGCATTGAAGGCGTTTGCAAGGTCAATCTGTAGCTCCACCGCTTCTGGTTGTACTTCCAGGTATGTGCGCACCGTGCGGATAGCTGCTTCAATTCCCCCTGCTATTGCCACCCGAACTGAAGGCGGGCAAAGTGCTCTCGTGCAGCCGACGCCGTCTGGAACAGGGCAGCCTTGGCAATTATGCGAAGCAGGCACTCGCCTACCACGATCGGCCTTGTCCCACCTTGCGCTTTCGTAAAAGCTAAGAGGCGGGAGGCGGTGAGGAGATCAATCACGTCTCTGCTCAGCTTCCCTTCTAAGGCCGTGTTAGTGAGAGCTAGAATTCAATGCCCTCCGGATATTCCTAGCAGACAACTTCCAACTCCACCTGCAGGTGAGCGCTCTCCTCCTCCCTCCCTGCCTGCCTCCTCCTTTCCTGCCCTCCTCCCTCCCTGCCTCCCTGCCCTCCTCTCATCCCGCTCTTCCTCCTACTGCTCCTTCATCAAAGTTCCTGGCACGATCGATTCGTTACACAAACAGTCTCTTGCCCTGACAGTGCTTCACACAGCTGAATCAGCTCATCTTTTCGGCACCAGCAACAGGGATGGGGGGGTGCCCATCCTCCCTGTCCCTCACAGTCACTGTGACTGCGGTGCCAACATTGACTGGGTCCGCTGCACTGCTCCCTGAGGCTGCTGGACTGGTTTCGTGAGACTGCCATGACAGTTTTTCAAGCTGCCTTGGCAGGTGTTCAAACTATCTTTGCGGTTCTTGGGACTGCTTCTGGCAGTTATGAGGGCAAATGTAGCGAGGCCTAGGCTGGGCTGAATTCGTTGGCAGCAGCACGTGTTGACTATGAGCTCCTGTGGTCCTTGAGTCAATGCGTCTGTAGCTGCTGATGCCAGGCTCCCACCTACATGCTTTGAGGGATTTTTTCACACACTTAGGCTTAAAATTAGCCCCACATGCCTTGGGATGGTTCAGGCTATCGCCTTTTTCTCCAAACCCATTAATGCAACCAGACCTCCATCTGATCTTCATCACTCCTTAATCAAACCTGCAGCTACCAGCTGCCATTTGCACTACTCATGTCTAAATTTATCACCCATATGCACTCTCTTCCTCCCTCCCTTCTTCTCTCCTGCCCTCACTCGTGAATCACACAGTTCTTGGCAGTAACAACTCGTTTTTGTGATCCATCTCAATCCTCCACTCAATTCACCTCAATCCTCCACTCAGTTCACCTCAATCCTCCACTCAATTCATCTCAATCCTCCACTCTGCTCACAGCATACGTCCTCGTCTCATCGGCACCAGCAGCTGGGATGGGAAGGCTCCAATCTGTTATGTGATGCTATCATTTGCATTCACGTCTGTCTGCCTCCCATCATATGTTCGTGCGTTGCATGCGTGGTGTGAGCGTGTGCAAGAATTTGTGTTTTGAGTGGTTTGAATTTTTTGAGTGTGTGTGAATGTTATTTGGCTTGAGCAGATATCTGAAGTGACTCCTCTGCTCAAGAGCTTTCCGACGAACCAAGTATCACTTCAATCGGAGCACGAACAAGAAAGTTACGAACGTTGAAGTTCGCATGCTTTTCATATTTGGTTGTGGTGACTATGGGAAGTTGTGGGGTTGACTCCATAAGGGGTACAGACTTTTGGGGGTTGGGAAATTCGTCTTTCTACTGTAGTTGCTGCCAAATGGTTGGGAGAAACCAAACCAGGTTGGCAAGTGTGGCCAAGTTGGGTTGAGGTCGATTGTGGAGGTTGGGAAAGTGACAAAAGTGAAAGTGGGGTTGCCTATGGAGAGGGGAATTGTGTGGCATTGGGTTTCCTTGGTTGGGGACTCCCTTGGGACCTTCCCTCTCATCCTCCTCATCCCTTCCACCTGGTTTAGTGCTACTCTAACTCTCTTGTGTAGTAATTGTGAACTTGTGAGACTATTGTGATAGAGTTAAGATTCCACCGCAGCATACCCCCTAGTGCGCCAAAATTGATAACTCAAGAAATACTTCATTGTTTTGTATGATTCAACTTGGGAATTGTAGCCACGGAGTAGAGCTACAACATATCTGAGTTTGGTGAAGTTTTGATTGTGAACGTTTTGTCGACGGCGTTTCTTGTGAGCGCGACTTTTCTGTCCAGAATTCTAAGCCAACGATTTTGAGAATTTTAGGCACCTAATCTTCGTAGACTCCGTCCTTAGTCTCTAACACAATCCTCCCCATCCCTCCTAGAGACTTCATCCTTGTGGTGCCGTCACTGTGGTGCAAACACTAATGGGGTCCGCTGCATTGCTCCTTACGATTGCCTCCGTGGTTCTTAAACTGCCTTGATGTTTTCTTTGGACTGCCTTGGCAGTCTTTACCAACTGCTCTGGCGGCTCTTGAGACTGTCCTGACTGATATTATGAACCACCTTTGCAGTTTTGAGGGCGGTTGTGGCGGTTTCCT